ATCGGCGCGACTCCGCGTGGCGCGCGCCTCGTGGCGGGCCCCGGGGCCACGGGCAGCTGTCTAACGACCGTTTAAACTGGGGGTTATGTTCGCCGCTCATTGGCGAAATCCTCATCGGCGGGTAGGTTACCTCTCTTCCCGTCACATCTTCTTCATAGTGCCGTTTTTCCCGTTTGAATCGGACCAACGATAGCTGAGATATTCGCTAAGGCCCTTGTGGCTTTTCGTTCTGCGCATGATTTTTCTATTCAACGTTAATCTATATCACGCTCTTTACATAACCCCATTTTTCCCGTTTAAATCGGACCAACGATAGCTGAGATACACGCTAAGGTCCTTTTGTCCTGTCACTGCGCATGATTTTTTCTTTTCAACTTTAATCTATATCACGCTCTCTACATAACCCCCTTTTCCTCATTTAAATCGGACCAATAGCAGTGAAGATACACGCTAAGGTCCTTTTGCCCTGCCACTGCGCATGATTTTTCTCTTGTATGTTATTCTATATCACGCTCTCTACGTAATATCATTTTTCCCGTTTAAATCGGACCGACGATAGCTGAGATATACGCTAAGGCCCTTCTAACTTTTCATTTACCTCGTATATTTTTCATTGTTTACGTCAACTATTGCCGCCATCTTGGATTTTCGACGTTATCATGTTTACTGATAACCCAGACTTCGAACTTCGACGCGTGACCTTGAAAGCGACAAAAATTGCCAGAATGAACCTTAGCGATTTCTTATGGGATTTAACATGGGGAATGAGGCAGAATCAGTGCTGCCTATTTACTATCATGGAGAAATGTGGTATATGCATTCTACCATCGATTAGGGTACTGGCAACTCAAAAATGGAGCACATTTTGAACACTTGATAAAGTAACCATTATGTTAAAAATATTGTAATCTTTCAATTGTTACGTCTAATGTAGTTGAAAATAGTTTGTATTAAAAAATTTATTGAGATAATTAGGCGTTGCCAGACTTCTGTTTTATTTATTTAAGACCTTCCAGACTACATAAAATCATAAGTGTTACGTACGGTTGAACTCGTATTGAATAGGAGATTCCAATAATGACTGAATATACAGGGTGATTAATTTGAAGAACCAAAGTGACTAATAATATAAGAAAAATTACAAATCTGGCAACATTCCAAATATCAAATCTGGAATCTCCGTATTCCAAAATAGGCGCACTCCAAATTTTGTACAATTAGGTCTAGCAATTTACGAGATAATTGGCCATTTCCAGACTTTTGGGCCACTATTTTTACATTACTTAGAAATATAGCATAGTTTAATTTATATTAATGTGGGGTTAGTAGCTTACAGTACTATATCTTATCATAGCTTATCACAAAATATGTTAACATGAACAGAATATCTAATAAACTCTTCAGAAAAAGATTAATGATTTAATTCCTCATGTAATATATAAAAGAGTTCTAATAAATGCAATTGGAAAAATTAACAAATGTCTATTTTGAAATCTTGATTCTGATGACAAGACAAGTAAATTAAAAAAATATTATCAGTAAAACAAATCTTCATATTTCGTTGTACAAGAGACTTGTTGATCATTATAATAAATCAGTCACAATCTTAGGCAAAAATCAAGAAATATTTATAGTTGATATGAAAAGAATTCAAGCAGCTATCTATAATAGATTCGATACACTTGCAGGTTGTAATAATTTTCAGTCAAGTTGATTTAGATTGTCAAATGAGAATTTCTTTTAGAGATAATTTAGATAATGCCATAACCTCTGCAAAATTAAATACTTTACATGATTCTATAGTTTTCAGCTCAGACATAAAAAACATGATAAAATATATAATGTTGATCAAATTTCGAACTTAACACTTAATATATTAACACATTATCAGTTCTTAGGAAAGCAAGTATCAATTTTATAATTTAAGTTCATCTTTACAATACACTTTCCTATTTTTCAATGTAATACCTTTGAATTTTATCATTTATTCTCTGTTATCCAAAACCAAAAAATGTATACACCTTCATTCCCCTATTTGGCACGAAAACATCAAGATACACAGTTTGAACGAGAAGAATGTCAATTCCTTGAAAAAATCTATTATTGTCGACAACATTTTATACCCCGATATAATTGTACTCTCCAACTTCTTAAAGAGAAAAGTTTGAGAAATTGTCATATTTTAAATTTTAATCTAGAAGAGTCAGTATTCGAAGAAATAATATCGATGAAGTCTTAATAATCCCGTTAAAACCTAAACAAATTCTTTTAAAATGTAACAGTAACCAGTACATAGACATACGGTCCCTGTAATTATCAAAATACCAAAGTCTTGTGAAATTTGGGCCAATGGAAGAAGATATATCAACAACATTCAACTGAGCAGAGGAAAGCTATTAGCCGGAGAGCTGGTAACACACATTTCATTAAGTGTTCGATGCACTTTGAAATTTTGTAATATGAAATCATTTGGATGGAAAAGCAGATATACCTGTGTTGGCTAGACACACCACGGGACACCAGGTACTGCGCATAATAGAAAGGGGTCGTAAAATATGACCCAAAAAAAGTGTTTGATTCAGAGGCCAACAAAAAAACAATTGAAAGTTTAGGTAATTCTAAAAATACTAGTAATTTAGGCAGACACTTTTGAGAGGGTTTATAATTGATAAATCAACCCCAAAGTTGATTTTTTTAAATATGATTTAAAGTGTTTGAATCACGCTAAAATTTTAATAGCGTCTTAAATAAATATAAAAAAAATTAATTCCAAAAAGGCAGACACTTTTTCCGGGGTTTAATTGCCGGCCAACATAAAAATAAATGAACCTCGTTATACGCCACTATGCATTGAATAAGTATATACTTTTTAAAACCTAAACATTTTAAATTACCAAGACTGTGAAATAATAACACAATAATATTTTTCCTTTTTTTTAGGAAAAAAAAAACAAAAAAAAAACTAAAAGTTTCGGGGCTCGAACCACTAACTTGCTCTCCACACTATCAAAATTTGGATAAATACAAAAAGGTCAATTATCACTATTGGGCCAATGTTCTAGAATATCGCTACAAACTGTCACGCAAAACAAAGAAGAATATTGTACCAATTTTTTTTTTATAATTTGTGAAAAATTATAAATGAAAAATAAAAACATTTTTAGCAAAATGGTGTAATTGTTATAGCAACTGTGTGGAACACAGACAGTATAATATGTTAGATTTATTAATTACAACTCAAATTTTCAAATATTGTAAGAACCGGTCCAAATTAGAAGCAGCAAAGAAAACGAGAAATCTTCAAGCCAGTTAAAAAAATGTAAAGTTGTCTATAGGGCAAAATACATAAATAAATGAATTTCTCATTTTCCTTATATTTTTAATGTACTTAATTAATATATCTAACAAAATGTTTAATAATAATACATTTATTATTTAATAATAAATAACCTCTGCACGTGTAGTTATTTACCCCAAGAAAGCTAATAATTATTGTAAGAGGCTGGTACATAGGTTATTTAAAAATTTAATTAATTATATTAATATTATTTAATATTACCAATTTTTTTTATTCAAACTACCTACCTACATTCTATTAAAAACTAAAAGTATAATAATTTCGTAAATTACGGTCCTGGATAACAAACATTCATACGATTTTATTATTTTTATTATATTTATACGAAGATGAATGACAAAATTATCGATTTACTTACCTACATAAAGACAAAAATTTTAAATACCTACCGATGGCTTGAATTCACGCCAAACATGAAAAAGGCGTAATAATATGGTAGACCACCAACTTAAAGACCATCTAAGCGACTTATTATAAATAGCAATTATAAATCTGATAAATTATTTTTCGATAGTTGCCAGTTTTGTTAAAATAGAGCGAAATAAAGACGATGTACGATCCAAAAAATTCGCAAAACGTTGTTGAACAAACAATCCGAACTTATTTTACCAATACCTATAAAACTATCTTCTGCTTACGACTTTTTTTTAATTTGCGCTACTGTCCGCTTGTCTGCACAACCGCCATGTGATGAGCATAATAAAATCAAACTTTTTCTTTATAAGTATTGACTTAGTCTACATATTTATACAATGGTAATACGTTACCTAGATGAGGAATATCGTGGTAAATGGATTGGGCCATGAGGTCCGATATAATGGCCTGCTCGGTTACCGGAACTTTCACCTTTAATTTTTTTTGTAAGAATACTTTAAATCTTAGGTTTATGCTAAAATTCCTGAGAGTTATGATGTGTAAAAACAACAAATTGCTGAAGAATTTAGAACAATTTACTCTGACACATTTAAACGAATATAACAAGAGTGTAGCAAAACTATAATTTTAGTGTTTATTTAGTTTATCCACCAAACTAGTCCTAAATCCAAATAAAATTAGTATGACAAAAAAGTTGCCAATTAAAATTGTTTATCACTGTAACCATGTGACGTCATCTGTTACCACTATTGGAACAGCATACAACCGTCTATTTTCACCATCCAAATTTCATTATTCCAAGTATACCCGTTAAAAATATATGAAGGGAAAGAAAAATTTTAAATAATACTGTATATTAGTCGTGATTTTTTTTTTTAAACTTATCTTATAAAAATTAATGGATATAATAATTGCATTTTGGATCATGATTTTAAAAAATTAGTATTGTTTTTAGCACTTCTTTTAAATTATGTTAGATATTAATATAGGTTTTAATATCCCTAGGACCTTGATTTAAGAGATACATAAGATTTCATATAAAATATTTGTGACAAAAATTCCAGTGGATAGGCAAAATATTTCCAATTATTTCTATTATTTTATTATCATGACAACGTTGTGTATTTGAGGTCAGCAATAACTGTGTTATAGTTCCTTTTCTTCTATCAAACTGAAATTCTAAACTCCATTTTCATAACAAACGAAAACATAACCTCTCGATCATTGGGTTTTATTAAATTATGTCCAAATTATTAATAACTTTTACCTCCAAGGTCAAAAATTCCTCCACATCCCGGTTGGTTAAAACCACCATTAGGCCAATAATCAACATGTCCTAAGGCACGGTTAAATCCTAACAGTCCTGAGCATGTGTGGATAACTTGAACGAATTGAGCATCAGTGATATCTAGACGATCGTCTATGTCAGCATTTTTAAAAAGAGGTAAAGCGGGATCCAAACCTAAAAATTAAAAAGGATAAAATATTAAAAACCTTGTACTTCCTGTAACAAACGATGAATAGTGTATCCGTAAATGATAATGATCCTTGAGACATAGAATACCGAGGAACTTACCTACTATATGATTAATCTTTCCTTCAAGAGCAGCTCCACACAGTCCAGCTACATGAGCACCAAGAGAGTGTCCAACAATGAACGTCTTTTTTAAATCCAATCCATTATCATTAACCAAATCCTTGATAAGTCTGCTGACAACTTTTCCAACTTGAGGTACTCCAGCTTTTGCAATAATGTACAAATTTTTAGCGATTTTACTCCAATCAACAACGAAAACGTTGGCATCTTTGACTTTTAGAACGGCTTCGGATATTTCTTCGCAAATTGCAGAGTCGAATTCGTTCCTCCAACCGTGAATAATGAAAACAGTATCCTAAAAAGGTTATTAAAATGCGAATCTTGAATTTGTTTAAATATACATAAAAGTAGAATTAACTCATTAGCGCTCAGTGGTACCAAACGGTATTGCTAAATTAGTCATTATCAAAACGTCGGTCAATTTAATAATATTGGTGGGAGAATAATTTCGGCTGCCTCAATGATTTCGGTTACATTAACAGTCGACGTAAAACTTTTTTGGTGAGTGTGTGTTCATGTGTAAACCTAAGAATACGTGTTTTCTAGCATCGCGTTTTACATAAATAAGAAAACATGTACCTTTACTTCTAGTAAGTAATTTTGATCAAGTACCTTGTAGGTTTTTCCAAATATAAGTTTGACTGTAGAGTTAAAATGAAGTGTAAAGCAATATATAAGATAAACGTATTTATTTTTTTATTAGTGTCCCGTTATAATATGGCCATAAAATTTGATGATACCAAATGAGCGTTAGAAGTATCAAGGTTTTATTGTCAGAGGCATTGGATATGGTTTAGGCAGATGACGATTTTGCAAATGAAACAGACGAAACATTTATTAAACCTCCTAAACCTAACGTTGATACCGATGAAAATACCGCTGACGAAAATAAGGGAGGGATGGCTCATAACCTAACAGTCGTTTCCTCAGAATCACCTACATATGCACCTTCAGTTTAAAATTCTACTCCTTTAACCCTTCATAACAATATTAATTCTAAGTTAAATGGGTAAATAAAAAATTACCTTCATGATAAAAAAGATTCTGAATAGACTAAAGGAGATCTCCAGCCTGCATCCTCCTGTTCCTTTCTAAAAGAACATCACAAGAGGTTTAAAAAGTTGTCTTGGATATTTTTCAATTATTTTTGATGACGAAGTGATTAATATTTTGTTGATGAAACAAAAAAAATATGCCCAATTTTGTAATAATTTAGACCCACAAATAACTTAATCTGAAATAAAATGTTTCCTAGTTATCCTCATTCTAAGTGGATATAACACACTTACTTCTAAAAGAGTCACGGAAAAAAAATTGTAGAACAAATTTCTTCAATTGTAGATTTTTTCTCTACAATAAATAGTACAAATAGGGACAGGGACAATTTGTAGTAAAAATTTCCAAATATTTGTAGAGAATGTATTGTAGAGGTATTATCTACAATATTTAGTAAAAATATCCAAATGCATCATAAGAATTGTTCTACAAATTGTTATAATTTTTGCTATTCATTGTATGAATTTATATTAAAAATGTATTGCTTTTTATGAAAATAAATACGAAAATTTTACACAATAAATAGTAAAAATTCATACAAATTGTAGTAATTTTTAATAAACTTGTAGTAGTATTCCATAATTATTATAATTATAACCTAGAAAAAAATGTTCCTTAATAAAATATTCAATTTATTGTTTTAATATAAAAGATACAAAGTCTTAATTACATTATGTAATAAATAACAGTAATAATAGCACCCTCAGTCTCAGTTGGCTTTTCTGCACCTGAAAAATATGAAATAAAAATTAATAACAATTGAACTGTTCATACCCTTAAAACGGGGATATTTATCACCTTTACACTGATTTGGATATTAAATGACTAAGTCAGATAAGTAACAAAAATGAGAAAGTAGGTATGTCACAATTAAGACCAGAAACATCATTGAATTTGACACAAAATTCGATCGTTGGGCACAACATTCGATCGTTGGCCACAACTATTTTTTTTAAAATAATCTACTAAGGTTATTTAAATTAGTTATCTAAAGGTAAATTATTCAGAAACAATAATAAATGTACTTACCACCAATAGAATTTATTATTAAAATTTTCTCAAACGCATCGGTGCTTATAATATAATAATGTGTTATAGGTACTCGTATATGTACCATGCTTTGTTATGTGAACATGGCGAACGGCTACTGCTGTCTGGCCATTTATGATCGACGTCAGAAAACGTTGGCCAATAGCAGAATTCTGTTTTGTTCACATGACTTAGAATTTCTACAATATTATAGAATATTTTTGAACAAAATTGAATATTTTTCATAAGAAGGGATGTAAATTATTATTATTTTTTGTAGAAAAAAATACTATTTTTTGTAGAGATAATTATTAATATTTGTACAAATTTTTTCAGAAGTTAGTAGTAGTAATTACGATAATTGTAATAAATTGCTACTTCTACAAACAATAGTAAAATATACTAAACATTGTGGAATTCTTTCCTATTGTTGTAGCATTTTATTCGACAATTCAATTGCTACAATAATGAATAGTTTTTAACTATAAATTGTAGTAAAATTTTCTACAAATTGTTAAGTATTTTTCTACAAGTCTACTACTACAACATTGTAGTAAAATTTTCTAGTCACATTTTTTTCCGTGTAACTTAATCTGAAATAAAATGTTTCCTAGTTATCCTCATTCTAAGTGGATATAACACACTTACTTCTAAAAGAGTATATTGGTACAATGGACGCCTCGGTAAAGCATTGACAAAATAAAAAATAATTGTTTGCAAAATTTTATTCTAGTCCCAATTCTTGCATATGACTTGACTATTTATTTATTTTATTTTTATTTATTTAGTTTATTAAATACACTGCTCTACAGTCTAAATACCTAGTTATAGAGCAGGAAAAAAAATTGTAATTACAAATGTAAACATAACATATTGCACAATTAGACCTAATTTGGATATAACATAAATTACATAATATGACAAAAACTAAATAAATTAGTTACTATACACAGTATTACACAGGCAAATAGTACAAAAACAGCTTTACAATTTTTTGAGCTGCGAAAGCTTACAAGAAAATAAATCAATACTATTTTACACACAAAATACAACGGCGAGTTTTTTTAATAAATTTGTTCGAGATAAAACATTAACAACCGTATGCATAGTCGATCGCCAGCAACTCGCCAGAGATTCATTCCGGCGTTTCGCCAGCGATTCGCTGGCGATCCGCCGGCGAAAGCCCAAAAAGGTGGCGTCTCGCCGGAGATTGTCACCGAAATGTCATTTCACGCAAGTTTTTATTTTCTTTTATAGGGATTATCACCGGTATCTCTCCTCAAAAAATGATGAACGAATATCAAATTTTTCCCTATAAAAGAACATGAATTGCGTGAAATGACATTCCGGTGACAATCTCTGGCGAGTCGCCAGCTTTTTGGGCTTTCGCCGGCGGATCGCCAGCGAATCGCTGGCGAGTCGCTGGCGATCGACTATGCATACGGCTGTAAGTTGTTTCGAGATTCAATTCTTGGCCTTTAAATACAAGTTGTTCGAATAACTCGGAGTAATCAATTTGGTTGTTAATTAGTTTATACAGGAATATTTACGACTGATTTTTTCTTCTACATTCTAAGCTTTGCATTTGGAATCTATTTAAAAGCAATGTGTGATTTACCCCAATTGGTGGATATGTTCCATGTATCTTAACTCATTAGCGCCTACGGATACCGTATGGTATCGCAAAACACCCCGCTATTCTCTAGCGCGTTGTGATCAATGTAGAATAAGAAAGAGACGCGCCCGTATGTTTTTACAATCAGTAGTTAGTCGTCTTTGCATTTCCGTGGATGCTAGAGCTTTTAATTACGTTTTAACAGTTTTGTGAGAGTTTTCTTATTAGGTAACTTTGTGCTACACAAAATAATGGATATACGATGGGCGTAATTATTTTTTTACATATTTCTATATCATTATTAGTGGAGTCTGGTACGGTTATTATAAAATTATGTACGATTGAATACATCTGTAAATAAAGAAAATTAGTTTGATGTAATGTGAATGCAGTATGTTAGGTCAAATGTTACTGATACCATATGGTATCCGTAGGCGTTTAGGAACCTTATATTGTTGTTTCACTACGTTTTATTTTGATATAATTTTTAACGTTCTAGAAAAGGTTTTTCGCTTTCCCAAGCTATGGATATGCTGGATGAAGTTGATAACTTACTTGAGAACGTAGATGAAATTTTTGTAGCACCCCCCGAGCCTAAAGTTGACACAGATGAGGATTCTGCGAACGAGGACAATGGAGGAATGATTAACAATCTCAATGGTAATGTAGTAGAAAAATAAAATAGGATCATTTTTGTTGTTTTATTTTTGATATTGAAGGTCGGCAGTTGTGTGCTCCCACTAAAATAAAATTATTAAACGGTGAGAGAATTGGAGAACTTTAGGCTACGAAGCAATTGGCACAACTCGAGAAAATAGAATAGCAAAATCTTGCCCTCTCACCAGAAAACAAGATTTTAATAAAAAAAAGCGGGGGGATTACGAACATATCATTGAAAAAAATGATGGCATTCTCTTATTACGGTGGATGGACAATTCCGTTGTAACTATTGCTTCAACAAGTGCCCGTGTTCAGCCAGAAGGAACAGTAAAAAGGTACTGCCAGAAAGAAAAGAAGCATGTAATGATTCCTCGTCCACACTGCGTGGCTGCTTACAATCAGAACATGGGTGGAACCGATCTGATGGATCAGGGCATTGCTACTTATCGCATTGGCATTCGTGGAAAGAAGTGGTATTGGCCAATTTTTACATGGCTCATTGACGTAGCAATTCACAATGCCTGGTGTTTAAGCCGTAAAAATGGAAAAATTTCATCATTAGAATTTAGAAGAGTGATAGTGCAAGTATATCTCACAAAATATAAAACACCTATCAAAGTTCCTGGGCGGATAAGTCTAACAAAAAATATACTTCCAAATATTAGATTTGATCGAATGGATCATTTTGTGATTTCGTGCAACAGACGAAGATGTGCCGGAGTAGGATGTAAAACTTTTGGAAGAACAATGTGTCAGAAGTGTGATGTGGGTCTATATATCAATTGTTTTGCGTCTTATCACACTTAATGAAAAAAATTTTTACGTATTTTATATAAGAATTCAATTATAAGTATTTGAAATTTTGTTTAATAAAAATGTTCCATAACGCCTACGGATACCATATGGTATCAGTCTTTTTTTTTATTTCTAATTTC